CGGCGGGATGCGTGGGTCTCGTGGTTGGACTCGGGTCCAAAGCTGTAGCCAGGCTAGGTTAGCCATCCCGGACCCAAAAAGCAAGGGTTGTAGATGTTATTATCCATTACAAAAGTAGGAGATAAATTATTGGTTTTATTTTTAAATGGTTTATTTATTATTTAATTGCAGTTGGGTGATTGTGGTTTGGTAAAGATTCTATCAGAACCCCGACAGGACTCCGTACGTACTGTGCAGGGATCTCAGAAACACACATGGGACAGTGAATTGACCATAATGTCCCTTGTTTTTTGCACTTCGTGTGGCCCAACTCATTGTGATTCATTCTGAATTTTCGTTATATTCTCCTAAGTTGTATATGTTCCTATTTTACCTTCAAAAAGATAAATCATAATTATTTATGAAACAATAGTTCCCAGACAATGGTTCATATCATATTGAGTTTTTATTCTCAGCGTGAAATTCTTATTTGATTCTTAGAGCGTGTTTGGTAAATACTCAAATTGGCTTATAAGCCACTTTGAAATATTTGACAAGTGGATTATTTTGGCTTGTAATCCATCAAAAAATAAGCTATGGTATTTTATCTTACTATGTAATGGATAATAAACTATGATGTTTAACGAAATAAGATACACTTATACTCTTTACGATTTCACAAAATTCAAGAGGTTATTTAATAAACTCATCAGTGATCCTTTTTTTTCTGATAATTTGGTGATAATGATGAATTATAGTTTATTCATTTGCTAAACACTCTACTATTAAAGATGAATTAAAATCCACTAAGTTTACCAAATATTTTATATTACAATTCATTTGAACTATAATCCAAGTAGATTTTAATCTAAAGTTCCCCAACATGAAAAAAAATGTTACTTTAGGAAAAAGCTGTTGGATTCGAATAATTCAAAAACTTGAATTCCTCACTTAGGTTGGAGTGCAGACATACCGTATCCACTAAGGGGCTGTTTGGTTGTATGTTTTTACCATGTAAAATGATGGAAAGTGTAAAAAAGTGGGTCCCAATATGTTTTTACCATGTAAAATGATGGAAAGTGTAAAAAAGTGGGTCCCAATGTCAGCTTTCATCACTTTACATTGTTTGTTTAAATTCTCTTTTACATGAAAAGCTTACACCTTTTGATGAGGTGTCACCGAAAGTAAAATCACCAAAATTAATAGTGATTTTGTTGGAAAGCTTACATAATGTCATAAATGTGTCCAAAAAAATAATAAAAAAGTCAAAACCTTATAGAAAGTGGTGAGGTGGATAACCACTTTCTATTTTGTGTCATAAATACTCTAGTTTACATTATACTATCCAAACAATGTAATACAATTATTTTAGGATTCATAAAGATTCCTAACCAAACAATGTAAACACTCGAATAAAAAGTGGTGAGGTGAATAACCACTTTCTATTATGAGATAAGGGAGGCCTTTGGCCTCCCCCTCATTATCCCTCCATTCACACCCCATTATGGTGGTGTAACACCCTGTAGGGTGAATATTTGATTTCCCGAAAAAGGGAGTTTCGTTTGTATTTATAAGAAAGCTTATTACAAACTAATGATCAAATAGTTACAACAGAAGCAGAGGGAAGGCCCTCTTTGTTTTGTGTGGGGACTTTTAGGTGGCTACAGGATGCTTCGCTCGATGCTCGTGTCGAGTCTGCTTCCCTTGGACCGTTCGAATGAGGTTGCTGGAGAGCTTCAGTTCGCAGTAGAAGCTCAACTTGAGAGAGTTCGGGTCTGTTTAGTCCGCCGGCGATCGGAGCTCGGAACTAAGCAGTGGTGCTGCAATGCAAAAAGGTTATGCAGAGAGCTTGGTCTCAACTCTTTTTCCTAAGTTTTGCGACCCCTCCTCCAGTGTGCCGGAAGAGGCTTTTAAATGGGAGAAGGACAACTTGACTCCTCCTTGAATTGTGGGATGTGACCACATCTTCTTCAGAGACGTCTAGCTGTTCCTCGAAACCATGAACGGTCATTCCAGGGATTGTGCTTTATGTCCTGTCACCTACGATGGGAAGGCCCATTCTTGTATGTGAGGCAACAAACGACTACTATCCGAGTGGATTTGACCAGCATTAATGAACCGCATTTATGAGTCCGCAGATCGATGAGGCGTCTGTCCGATCACCAGTACTGTGCGTGACCGCCCGGCGTGCTTTGAGCACGACGCTTTCTCCTTTCCGGTCAGGAGAGGCGGTGAAGTAGGTGTACAGTACTCGAGT